TAGACGAATGGAGTGCCTTGTCGCAAAATGATAATTTTGCTATCGCTCGATGGATCAGGAACGAAAGCAGAGCGGAGGACCTAGTTGAGCTGCCCGGGGACTTACACGGGATGTGGGCTCAGCGACATTGGAACGATCCATTGGTGGAGCAAGAGAACTAGTAATATATGTATTGGAAGGCTATGCCCTCGTTGGCTTACTTGATATTGAGCTTGATAGGCGTCCCACATACGGGTAGCGATGCAAGTTTTCATTTATTCTCTCTCGTCTGTGTTCATTGCTTTCTAATCTATCCGTGTGTTGTTCTGCCCATTCCTCCTGCACCCGTCTCTCTTGTCTCCTCATTCATCTAAATCATCCTTGATTTACACATGGAGTTCAAGCTCTGTCTCTAGTTCAGGCTCGTCTCGGAGGCGAAAAACTTTGTGGAGTGCGCACAAGGCTCGGAGGTGTTTGGCTTGAATACTGACGCTGTAATGCGCAGGCGGATCGAGGACTTTGAATCGTTCCTTCATGATACCGAAGACGCGTGCGACAACGCTGCACGCACAGGCATGGCGCAGGCTGTACAGCTCGATCTTGTCGCGAACATAATTCTCAGGCCTGAAAAGTGTAGATACGTTTCAGTATATTGTTCATTTTACAGAGTTGAAAGGATTCTACTCGATGCGTACATTCCACGGTTGCGAAGGTTTAACAATTTGACAGTAAGTAGTTTACTTATGACATCGTCTTATCAATAGTGTAATCCATTGCAGTACAATATGTTCTTAATAAATAACCCCTAACCCCTGACCCCTAACCTTACTCGCCCTTATGTGATCTCATTCCTAGTTCTATACTCATAGTTTTATTAAATACAGCTAATCCCCGCGAGAAGTATTCGCTTTCTCGTTGTACAGTTGATAGAGAGATAAACAAAGAGTGATACGGTAATGAAAGAATAGTTAATCTATATGAAAGCAAGTGTGTTGAAATTGGTAGACAAGGTCGTTTTAGGTACGAGTGGCTAAACGCTGTATGAGTTAGGGGTTAGGGGAAACCGGCACGAAACCCGGTGATAGTGTAGGATGGACAGAAGAGCGAATAGTACTGGGATCGTGGGATGCAGATCAGCGTGCTGCTGCCTCGCTATGAAGTTTGCAAACAAATGAGCGTGTCAAAATATACATCCGAATACACACACATTTTTGCTGGTCCAACTTAACTTAATATGCCGAGTTGCTCAACTTGTCAGAGACAAAGGTTGATTTCCCAAACTTGACCAGACAACATTCCTCAGAAATCACGCAGTTGTTAGTAATGCTCACCTGTCTGATAGAGACCAATACCTGTGACTGTCGAACTTGTAATAGCCTTGAAGATTAGCTAGACGTTGTAGTTGGATACAGGGTTGAAGCAGTTATTATCAAGTACTGTGTGTCCCCCTTCAACGTCATGACTGGAAGTTGGCCTATCTTATAGAGACATAAATCGCCACCATTCTACAATTGATTTCCTAGGGTATCCTTGCGCAAGCTATCACTCTGTTGCCTATTAGCCCTCTTTCCTGTGTGGAGCGTTGGACGTTCAGTATTTAACGTTTAACCTCTCTCGTTTAACGTTTGACGTCTACCGTCTACCGTTGACCGTTGAATGTTGAATGTTTAATGTTTAATGTTTAACGTTCGACGTTCAGCATTCAGCATTTATCGTTTAACGTTCGCCTTTGAGCGTTGATCGTTCGGTACGAGACATTGAGGTTGGCTACAAGCATCTGATGATGGTCACGTAACTACAAGCAGCTAGTTGTCTTTGTTGCTTTGGGTGCGATATGACGTGGCAACTGGTTCGCCGCGGCCAGACTTTTGTAATATGCTGATGGCCTAACCTTTGAGACACACAATTCATGCACAGGTACTACACGATAAGATACATTGATATGGACGGACAAAGGGCGAAAGCTGACAGAACGTGTAAGAAAACGGCCGGCGAAGCCCGTGAAGTTACATCCTGCCCTTTAACAAGTTGGTGCTGCTATAGCAGAAAAGTATCCAGCATTGGCACACAGCGAATCTTCGAAATGATAAACCGGGCAGCATGGTGACCCACTCGTCTGCATACGTCTCTTGATCGCTTTCATCTCCACCCCTCGTGCTTATTCTAAACAGGTTTCCACGTACCTTGTTCCCAGGCGAGTTTCTTGAGCGGCAACATGTTGACCTCACAGGTTTCACTCAAAGCTTTGGGACTGAAGCTTGACTGTGACATGGTATACCCACCCAGGGTCTCCATGTCACATGTACATTTCAGTAATACATTCCTCCCAGTCTGCATTGTCGCTTGGAGCGCATTCTGAAACCCAGAAATTGATTCTCTTGAATGTTACCTTCGGCCGATATGTATACCTCCAACTCAATACCCTTGTCTGATTTCCGGAATATAGAATATACACCCCTTCGCGAGCTTCTCCGACTGTTCAGGTTTCCTGTCCAGAGCGGATGCGTATAGGTGTATGATGGCTTCTCCATTGAGGACTATCTCATGGCAGTGGTAGTTTTCCAGATTATCTCCATCATGGAAGACTCTGACAGTAAACGATACATGTCCTTCGTGGCTCAAGGTATGCATCTGGGGAGCCTGTAATAGACTGTTTCGTTCCTTCCGAGTGACAATTTTAAGGACAGGAAGTACCTCTGCTTTGGCCTTGGAATGACGAAAGTCCCTAGTCCTGGCAATCCAAGACGGCCTCCTCGCTGTGCTGCTGTTGCCAGACTGGGAACTGCCATGAGCTGCAGTCATCGGCGCCCAGAGTCAACATCGTCGCTGAGGAACGAGGCAAGCAGGATACATACAACAGAGTGACCATCTATGCCTTGTGGTCCCTTCCGAAGCTGAAGCAGCCTTGCTGTCACTGGAACTGGCAGCGGTAGCGCTGGGCTTTTTTGAATGGCCGATGGAGTCATTGGGATCGAAGAACAATGACAGTACCAGCGGCAGATCCGTACTTTCGTCCCTCGGGCCGGAGATACTGGCAATGTCATTGTTTGCAGTTGCTATCAACCCGCCTTGAGAATGTTGCCGAGTTTCCTTTGAGAAGGTGCTTGAGTTTGTAACAGGCATTCTACAATAAGACCCGTATTTGAAGTGATACCTCACCGGTCACCCAAAGAGTTTTCTCAACCGTAGACTGACATATTCATGTATCTATCTGCACAGCAAGAATCCGAAAGGAAGACGAGGACGAAAGGAAGTAGGAGTGGCAAAATGGTTAAGAGGATGAATCACTAGACGTTCTCTCTCAAGGTTTGGGTTGGCTCGAGGGTCACCTAAAATACAGTTCAGGTCAAGGAAATAATTTACGCATTAGGGTACATAGTTCAACTACTTTTGGTGCCAAATGCCTGAGGCACAGAAAATGATCGGTGAAAAAGCGAATTTGTAGATTAAAGGTGTTATTTGTCGTAAACTACCCTATCAAGCTACTTAACTATATCTTTTGGTTCCGAAAAGCAAGCCAGCTGGCAACGCCAGTTGGGTACACACAAATCCAGACGGTATCTAATGCAAGAAACGCCAACAAGTTATTCGTCTACTTATAGAAGCAGTCACTGGCATCATCATGTCCCCCATATCATCCTCGAATCGGTCCGACATTGACACTCCCTATTGACAGCGGTCTGTCGAGAAGTTGCGTGACTTGTGAATTAATTGTCTTTCTTGTGTTCATGCTAAAGAGCTGGCCGCGAGAAGCGTGAGCGCTGGCCACTGTGTATGAGAGGGTAAAGAGTGTGGCGAAGAGTCAGCCGGACAATGGTTGAAGCAGAGGCCTGAGACGGGGGGAGGGGGGGGGGGCGTGTCGCGAGCCAGTAGTTAGTATCACGTAATATACGTAATACGAGTACCGCCGTTGTAACTGGATCCTAGCACAAGTTATACAATAGCTTATTACGTAAGACTGGACCAATACCTACCGGAAGTGGAAGACGAAGGGTAGCTAATTCTGAGGAAGTCTTGCACTCAAGGTAGCTGCGGAATTGAGAGGTAATCAAAGGGTGAGATGAAAGTCATGTAGCTAGTTCAATATACAAGCACAAAGGGCTGCTATATATCTGTATCTGTAACTAGCTACGGAGGAAGGACTTCGTGACGGAGTCTTTGAGCTAAGCACGTCGTGAAGAAGTCTTATGATTAAGCACTTCGCGACGAAGTCATGTCGTGGCTAAGGGGAATCAGTCAAAATGCCGGAGTCAAGTCTGAAAGAGTCAAGTAGTTAACGAAGGTATATGATTTCATCGTCGGTTATCTAAAGGACTGCTACAGATACTATGTGTATCCCTACATTGATGGTACCTTGCTACATGGAAGACTGTGGTGATTCTAACATGAGTATTGTCTTCAGTAACTCGGATATTGCAACTGGTACTAGAATCCATGGCAACGGTGTGACTACCTTGCATCTAGGTAAGCTAGACCACTCACCACCAACAGTAGTAAGGCCTACCTAATAGCGCGCGGATGAAGGGTGTCCCTTTGGGGAGTAAGCTGGAACAGCTTGGATTCACTTGGAATCGAGTGCAAACGTAATGTACCTTTTATGCACCACGTCACTGATGTACCCTTCCCTTTCAGCATGGATATTGTCGTCCCCCCAAATAACTACTCGTCACGTACCAAAGCTACGGCTGGGTACGTGGCTTTCTGTATCTCGTTTGTGTTCACTTATTGCGTACCGCTGCGGATAATCTGTCAACCAAAGGGATGCGTCAACGTATCAACGTAAATACATACATCAGTCGATCCCACAACACGTCCGAAAATTCCAAACAGTTCTGCCGTGGGCGCGCAAGTGAAAGGGTGAAAGGCCCCGGAGACGTATGCCAAGGTGGCAATCGTCACTCACCGTCTTGGCGCGGGCCCCTACCCTGACACAACAAATGCCATTTTTTCCAATACTGGTTTTCCGTTGTCTAGTCTTATTTTGACGTTATGTAGCAACTTCGGTTTATGAGGGCACGGAAGATGGCATGACTGAGTGGTTATAGTGATTGATTAGAAATCAATTGGGCTCTGCCCGCCCAGGTTCGAGTCCTGGTGTCGTCTGGTTTTTGACGTTTTTGTTTTGGGGTACTATTTTGGAGCTTTCTTTCTCAATGGAACAATAATGGTGTGAATCTTATACTTGCGGTACAAGATAGACTCGGAGTCTGCAAGAGTTCTTTTGATCTGCATGTGATTGGTAGCGTGACTGTTAGTTTAAATTTTTCTCTGTCTTCCTGTACGAGTTAGATTATCTTTCGGGGGGATCTTGTGCGAACAGGGTGCAGTCAAAGCGGTTTGTCGTTACTCAAGGTATGATGGACTCATCCGTAGCGGCCTCCACTAAAAATTGTGATCAACCGGAACAGTAAGAAACTGATCGCGATCCAGAATCGACGAACGCACAGCAAAGTTTGCAACCATCTTCGGGCTATGAATCCATCGGGGTTCAGGACACTAAGGGGTTTCACGGTAGAATTTAGTTCGGATTTCCGAACGAACGCTCCGAACTTTTTTTCGGAACGCCATACAAATTAGTTCGGAACGCAAAGGAAAGTTCGGACACAAAATCCGCTCCACGGACGAGCAGACGAAAATCACTTCAACTTCAGAGTCTCGTAACTAAGTGATGTACGGGTCCAGGCTGATGAAAGGACCAGCTATGGAAACGCTTACGTCTATTCTACCTGTTCCCTGAGTTCTAGCGGTGGTCAAGGCTCCATCTGTATGCTATAGGTCGGGGCGTATGGAGATATAATCCAGCTTTACAGCTTGCATCCGAGTCTCGATCACGCGACTTTGGAGACGTGGAGATCAGGTGTAGGCTATAGGATATGTTTGCGCAAGCTTATCATGATGTACCTTTCAGCATGTCCTTTGCCTATGACGCCTTGCGGCTGAACCTTACCTTCTGCCCCCACGGCTTATCAACCTGTGACAAGATGCCTGACGAGATCGTCAATCTAGCCGCCGACAACGAGACTTCCCCGTCAGTGTAATGATATCACCGACCCAGTAGCCATGTTCCGCCAGCTGTAACTATGTAGAAACGCTATTCAATCTCCGGCCGCCGATACGTCACTATAATGAGCCAGCACCGCGATGCGACCGCACTCCGCTGTTACAACACCGCGCTGTTGCGACACCAAGCCTGAGTGACTGGATGTTGTAACACCAAGCCTGACTGACTGGACGTTGTACCACCACTTGGAGACGGAATGCCCTTCCTTGATAACTGCTAGCTGGACAAATAACTATATAAGAAGAAGAAATCTTTGCCACTCTCTGTAACCTTATTTAGTTATGACACGCAATATTGGATCAAGTAGTCAATGCAATACTTTCAGTATTAGTCACAAGGAAGTCGCGAACCTTACGTCATCACATACAAAGTAGACATTGTTAGGCAAGTCGCTAAGACAGGTGAGTATTACATAACCACTGCGTAGCTCCGAGACGCTGGGACTAGTTGGGTAGACTTTGTTACTTAATCAATAAATCTAAAAGACTATTACAACTTGTATTACACTACAAGTTGCAGTCAGCTTGAGGATAGTAGCTCAGGCTCTCAACAAATTGGGGCCGAATCCCGGAAATCTGGGATACACCCATACGCCTTACCACCTAGACGTATAACGTCTGCCTAATTCATCTTGCCGTCAACAGAAATCGCTGGACGCAGCGTCAGGTCAGCCTCTTTGACCTGTTCGATACTGACTTACCTTACTACATAGGCAAGAACGTTTGCAACAATAAACATATAAAACTGCAGTCAAGAGCGAGCCTCTTCGAATCAACTAGCGTAGCGTAGCTGATTCAGGTCCGGTACGGATCGCTTGGTAAATCCAATCGCGGTATTCTAGTATAACCCGCACGTGGTAATCCAACACAATAGAGTAACAGTGAATGGACGCTTCGCTCGAAGAGCCACACCCATCCATCACTAGTAACTGTACTGTCACAGAAAAACCAATCAAAGAGGTTTTCACTAAGACAGTAGAAGTAGTAGTAACTACTAAGTACCTGCTCCAAGACAGAGTAACAACATATGCCGATGGATCTAAGGAACAGGCACGGCAATACAGCTCGCACACCGGAATCACCGTTGACCGAGATGACCTCACAGAGTCATACTAGACAACGTTCTAACTCCCTTCCAGAAGTTACAGCCCGAGACATGGTCAACCCATTCCTCGACACTCCTGTTAGGCACCCAGTCACCACCTCGACTGAACCACTTATCGCTTCCGCCAATCCCGTTGACAATCCCAGTACTGAGCGAGTAACTGTTGACGAAATCCATCACAACACTATTCATGAGCTTCCTGCCGAGGGGTTTCCTCGTACTGGAGATTATGAGGGTCTTCCTCCTTTACCAACTCATAATCTACCTCACAGTTTCACAGAAGGTCTTCAAGAGATGCGAGATCTTACCGATCGCATTCGAGAATTGGAATCCAATATGATGAACCTTCAAGTAAATCGTGACCATGCTCAAGAAAATGCACGCTACTTCCACGACGAATCCAACCGAACGGGGCGATACCGTGAAGGGACTCAAGCTACCAATTCAACTTATACCAGTGAACATCCAAGAAGCAAGATCAAACCATCCGATCTTCCCAAGTTTTACGGAAAGGACACCGAAGACGTGGATGAATGGATCGAAAAAGTCTCCGCTATTTTCACCTACTCGGGTGCCAAAGATACCGAGCTTCTTCGCATATTACCTCTTCTACTGCAAGGCAATGCAGCCGTGTGGTTTACATCGCTTGGAGACGAAGGTAGAGCGAGTCTTCTGAAATGGGATGCCTGGAAGGCAGCACTCCGAAATGGATTTTACCTTCCTGATCACGAAATGACGAAACGTATGTTGTGTCGAAATCGAATGCTTGAGAGGACTGAAAGCTTTGGAGATTACTTCCAAGCACGAAGATCCTTACAACGATACGTCTATCCATATGGGACGTCTTACAAGATCCTCATCAAAGACATCATGGAGGGTCTGCCTGCTCACCTCCATCCAATCATCAGAGCCAACTGTGTCGACGTCCGAAACATGGAGGACTTCCGACGAGTCTTGATTGATCTGGAACCGGGGATTCGGGACATGAAAGGTTATGCCTCTCACACTGGGCGTGCGCTAGCCACAGCGCGACAGAGCACGGTAAACAATATCAACACTCCGTTCGATAAGGATAAATACCCCTTGCCGGTAAACCGAAGTCACGACGGAACTGCACGAAAACGAAGTTTACCAAAAACACCTTGCAAATGCGGTGGAATACACTGGTACTCAGACTGTCCTCAGAAGAAGACCACTGCACAAGTCAACCAAGCTCAAAAGGCACCGGCTACCTTTCCAAACAATGTACCCTTAGGTGGTACTTCGAAATGGCGTGCTTGGGGTAAGAAAAAAGATGAAGACGTTGTCAAAGAGGTCAATGCCATTCAAACCCGTACTACCAAACGAAAAGGCACAACAGGCAAGTTGGCCAGATTCGATTCAAAGAACAACAAGCAAGACGAATCAACCAATGTCTCCAAGAAAGAACGCTTGGACATCAGTCCCACATTTGCCTTAGCGAAGTTTGAACTAGATTCGGGCACGTCTCATCAAGTCTGTATAGACACTGGTTCATCTATCTCGTGCATCGACCACGATTACGCTAAGAGGTATCTACCTCAGAACGCTATACAGCCAACTTCTAGTCTAAGACTCTTAGGGGTTGGCACAACCGTGACTTCGGGAATCATCAACGCTCAGCTCAACTTCGAGACAGCTGATCCAAAGAAACCGTGCAAGATTGAAGTGAGACTCTATCTCGTTCCTCGACTGAACACTAAAATAATTCTCGGAAATGACCATCTGGTACCCCTCAACCCTACTATCAACTTCGAAGAAAATATCATGACCTTTGCCAACATGGATTGCAAGGTTATGATTATCAATAAACGTAGTATCGTCCATGAAAGTCCTAGCACAGCAAGGACCCGAGAGGTTTTCACCTTGGAGCCTGGACACCAAGCCAGAGTGCCCATTCTGGTTCACCCTTTACCATCCTACGAATTGTACTGCGTGGAAAGTAACACCCCGTTGCCCGAAGTGTACGTCGCAAGATCCGTAGCAACTACAGCTAGAAGCGACCATTTTGCTATGGTTTCCAACTTCGGAAATGCTGCCGTCAAGATTCCTGCTGGAACTCTTCTAGGTAGTATCGAGAACGTGAAAGATTGCTTACAGGACTTTGCGCTAGTAAACAATGCTACCGCAAACGTGTCTGATGTACATAAATTCGAAGAAGATATCTGGGCACTGGATATCAATCCCGATCTCACAGACAAGCAAAAAGAAGATTTGCGCGGAGTCGTTCGACGACAACACGGCGCTTTCGCCTATGGCAACCGCAAGCTAGGTCGGACAGATTTGGCTATCATGAAGATAGAAACGGGAGATGCGTTACCTGTATCTCAACTACCATACCATGCTTCTCCGGCAGGACGAAGGATAATTGATGAAACTCTAGCGGAACTCATCGCCGAAGATGTGATCGAGGAATCTGATTCTCCTTGGGCTTCTCCCGCGATCTTAGTTCATCAAAAGGGGAAGGATCGCTTCTGTATAGACTTTCGAAAAGTAAACGAAGTCACTAAGGCCGATCAGTATCCCATTCCCCGGATAGACGACATATTATCTCATTTCTCGGGGAAAGCATATTTCACCACCTTCGATGCAAACAAAGGGTTCCACCAAATTGAAATCGATCCCAAGGATCGTGAAAAGACAGCTTTCCGTACCCATCGAGGTTAGGGGGTTAGGGGTTGGGGATGCCATAGGTCTCAACACTAAGTATACAACAGGGTAAAAGCACTGATAATCGGAAGACTATAGTCTAAAGGAGAATGAAAAAACTTCGAAACTCTACAGGCGAATCGGTCCTACTGTCGACTATTGATAGTACGTTGATGGCGTAATGCTGCCGCTTAGAGGACGTCGGTATTTAAAGTACAAAACTCTTGGCTTTGGCTCTTAGGAGGATAAGAGACAATTGTTGGCAGAGAGT